TCCCAGGCACAGTGGTGCCGAGGAGAAGTGTCTGAGGTCAAGAAGGATTGCATTACAGTGCAGTACGCGGCCCCGAACGGGAGCAAGATCATGAAGCACTTGCCACCAGATCATGAGCACCTTCGGCGTCCCCTGCCGGCAGCCACGCCAGCGACAGACCCAGGGGTGCCTGTGGCCAAAGCGGTTCCTATTGCAGCTTATCCTGCCGTCCACGGCAGCCCAATAACAGCAACACTTGTCAATCCTGTTCCAGGCCGGGGATTCCCGCAAGAGGCGCCTGCCCCAACGTTGGAAGAGGTGCCTTTTCTGGGAGAAAGGCAACTTGCTGATGTGCAAGAAGAAACAGTCCTGCGGTTGCGGCGGCTCATTCGACACGGAGATTTGAGAGGGGCCCAGAGAACGTTGCTTCGAGCAAAGCTGCTGAATGCTGAGCTTAGAGATGACGTCCTGGGACAAGTCAAGTCGCTTGAATCCGAAGGGGAATTTGCTCTATTGTTACCTGCATGAGAGCCCTTGTGCAGATCAATTGAAAAATAGCTTCCTTGGCTGTGAGTCTCGATCAGAGGCGCCTGCAGACTGTCTCTAGAACGTGCAACTGCAAGCAACTAGCAGGCTCCAGATGCACCATCGATCCTGGCAACTGGCCGAGCAAGACACTGGCCACAGGCACCAGAATCTCCGGGACGTTGACCGTTCGGTCATTGTTGGTGTGCAGTGTGGTCACTCAGGCTCGTGGCGTGTTTCTGAGCCACAACCAAGATTTTGCTGCTTGGATCAACGACGAAGACCATTTGCCAAGAACTCAGCTACAGACTCGCTCTGCCTTCCTTATCGCCGACCGTCATTGCTGTTGCAGGAGGCTTATTGTTCGACGATATGATGGCGACCTTAAGGCTTGATATGGCTTGATAGGAACGGCTGTGCAAAGATTCCAAAGCTCAAAGCGAGGCGGCCTTTTCCAGATTGTTCACCGCAGAGAAGGCTGTGAAACGCGCTTTGAATCTGTGATCTGTGAAGATCTTAGGGCCATGCCAGGGCCTGGCACAGTCCCTTTTGCAGTTGGGCCACACCTTTGCCAGAAGCGACCGTTGCAACCTAAATTTGAGATGTGCTTCTTTGAAATGCTGTAGAGTTTTTTCATGCTGAGGCTTGGGCTTTTTGACCTGCTGTCCCAGTAATCTTGGCACTGCTTTCCGTCTCTGCCCCGGTGGCCTGTTCTGACCTCTTGTGACCTGTGGAGATCGGATTTCGCGGAAGGTGCCAAAGTCAGGGTGACTTTGCCTATGCTTGGCCAACACGAGGGTTTTGCCGAGCTATCGCGCGCTCTTGGCGTGCAGGCCAGAAGTCGAGAGCACGGCATGCACGCCATGCGAAAGATATCGAAAAGTGTTACATGTGTCCAAATTTGCAGGCCAAACGGTTGGTACGCTCAGCGCTCGAAGGGACCTGGGACATCTCGAACGCGGTGCAGCTGAACGCCGCAGAGGTCGAGCAGGCACGGAGAGAGCAGCAGCGGCGAGCAGATGCAAGCCTGCAGCTTTTCAGATGATCTCAGATGTTTTCCCGTCGCAGGCTAACAACCTGATAGCAGTGGTGAGAAAGCTGCACGAAATGGACCTCCTGCTTCAATCCGGCAAAGTTCTAGACCTAGCGACCGAGGCGGGACAATACCACTGCCTGTCTCGATCTTTGAGAGAGAGTAGACACACTTGCCAGGCAGAGCAGTTCCGTTTGTCCATGCTGAAGGCGCGGCTTTCTACTACAGAGCGGTCATCAGTGTGTTCTGCGCTCTGGGCAGGTGGACACAGTACTCGGACTAGGAGATGCGGAGGAGAGTGAAGTCCCCAAATTCTTCATCTCGCACCCTTCAGACATGCAAGGTACCTGGCTTCCCAGTTGACGACTGCCCTGAGCTTCCGGATCTTGCAGGCACCATTGCTGCTCGAATCATTCTGCATCAGCTACGGCCTATTTTTATGACTAGACAGCACGTCGTGTCATCTGGGCATGCAGGCTTCAACAGCATCGTGGCTGACATGCTCAAACGAGATCCGGAATTGTATAGCAGGTGGGACCGCGCATGATGGACACATAGTATCGCTGTTGATGGCATAGCACGAACAGATGGCAGGTTGCGCAGCATCAAGACTAGCAAGGGTGTGTCTTTGGCTCGCTGCATCAAGTGGCCTCCTCAGATGCACGTGAAGCCAAGCTGCGTTGATGAATTCTTTTTGCTTTCTTGGCACTGAGCTCAGCCATGCCTCCCATCCTGCGCTTGGCTATGCTTCGCAGAATGAGTTGTCTTAAGACTGCCTGGAGCATGCCCGATCTTGCCATATAGCAACGTGTCCACCAAACGAGTGGTCGTTTCGTGTAATTCTTGTCGCGTTTGTTTTTTCCCGCAGCCCTCGGCCACCTGAACCCTATAGTGCCTCTGTCATGCTCATAAATGCTTTGCAAGGCCTGGTATGGACAACAAAGCCCGAAATGCGATCAGGCGCCTTGGGGTGATAGGCACCTCTCAATGGAGTCAACTCTTTTTGCTACGAGGAGCATTGGGCTTGTGGCTGGAGACGCAGAAAGCTATTCCGTGTTGGCAGCCTGGTCTTCGAGAATCTCTTGGTTTTGCTCTTTTTGTCTGGTCACCAAGGTTCGCTCCCCTTTTTCTGCCCGCGCTTGCTGCTGTCAGGATCTTTCAAGAGAGCACCTTTTTATGAATTCTTCCGACAAGTCGGGACAACGACGTTTTCGAGGTTAGCGGGTGGGCTCAGGGCCTTCGTCAGCCACAAGTCCTGGATCCGTCGGTTCTGGCCTTCATCCCTTGCCCAGCAGCAATTTATTCTGTGCTTCCATGTTGCAGGTCAAAGGGCCCGCCATCAGGGATGGTGGCCACATACTGCTCGGTGCGCGAGTAGAGGCCACATTGGAGTTGCTTATGATGGCCTTTCCCTTTTTTTCTTTTGGACTTTGCCAGGCTTCGCGGAATTTGGCCGACTTTTGCTTTCCCTCAGCGATTGCCCGAGATGCACGTGCCGAGCTAGAGCGGCTTTTGACGAAGGCGTCGGTTGAAGTCGCCCCGGCTGTAGTCAAGTGTTCCCAACACCAAGTTCCTCATGGTTTTCATTCATTTCGGCATTTCCGAATTGTATGACGTCAATATTCAACTAGCCTACATTCCCTGTCAACTGTTTAAACTGGGCAGGTGCTGCTCGAACTGGAAGGAGTTGGGTGCCCAGCGCAAATTTATAACCAGGCTTGCGAAAAGAATGCTTCTGTACGATTCCGTTGGAGCAGAGGATTTGGCTGGGGAGTACTGGCCTCTGAGCAACTCCGGCACTTTTGTGGCGCTCTCAATCCTACAATCCATGCCCAGTAGAACCTTGACGGAAGCCAACGCTGAAGTTGGTTTCGAGGTGGCTTGCGCTGGTGGCATGACAGCAGAGGAGCAATTAGGGCAGTTGATTTCGGAGAGGTCATGTGCGTGCCCATCTTGAGATTTCAGTGCTGACTTTGCACAAGGATGCCGCAGATCTAGAAGAGCGTGGATTTCTGTTCCAAGCTCCAACTTCTGCGATGCTTCTGTCCTCTGGAATGGGCAAGCACTGGCCGGAGGCAGGAGGCTTCCCAGCCAGGCAGCTGCGACGGTAGTGCGTGCCAGGCTCGTGGTGTGTACGTAAATGGCTCTAAAGATGTGGCAGTATGGATCAACGAGGAGGCCATCTGCCATCTTGCTGCATCAGAAAAGGTTGCACGTTTCTTTATCCCAGTGGCCCAAGGACCATCTCCGACTCATCGCGACAGCAAGCAGCCCTGAAAAGGCCTTTGATCGCTTCTGCGCTCTTGAAGGCCCGGCAGCCTGGCATGTGATTTCATTAGCAACCTTGACAAATCAGTTAGTTCAGGTGCTGTAAAGCTCGGTCTGCAACACGAGGGCCAAAACTATGCATCGCACGAGGCAGGGCCAGAAATGCACTGCGTCGCACAATGCAGCTCTTCCTAGCTGCTGGTTCCAGAAGTAAACGGCACAGGTGCTTGGCTTTCTTACGTCGTGTCCATCAAAAGTTGGTCCCCCTCCTAATTCTGGATTCAGGTGTGTTTGTCATTGGCGTGTTCAATTAGGAATGAGCTGAGGCACTGGTGGATTCCAGGCGCTACCGGAAGCATAGAGGTGCAGCTTGTTAACTCGGCAAAACCTCTGCAAGGTTACGACGCAACTGAAGCTGGATCTCGTAGAGGATGCCGAGGCCGTCGGTGTCACAAACAGACAAGGTTGCACCTGCGGTATCTTAAAACGAGGACAGGCACTTCGAGGATGTGTCCTCCGAGATTGAGAGTCAGGGGGTCCTCAAGATGAAGGCAACTGCTAAGATGGGCCGCGTGCCTACATGCAAAGCTAATTTAAGACTACTTTGGAGAAGCTGTTCAGTGATGTCCAGCCCAGGCCAATCCGAAGCCGACGTCGTGGAGGCAGCGCCTTCCTCAGATCATCAGCCTCTATGCACAGGTTTTTTGCTGCTCACGCTGGCCCAACTGCCCCGATCAAAGGTCGTGTTGGCATGTGAGCAGCTGATTTCTGAGGAGGTCCAGCTGGCTAAGGATGGCTGAATTTCATCAGTAAAAAAACAATCTACACGGTGGCAGCGCTGCCCCAATTAGAAGCACTAGCTGTAGACAGCGGCATAATCTGAGTGGGAGTATGTTTCTGCCTTTCAGCCAAGCTGAACAGCGTTGGTTTCTAAGCCGCTCAGTGGCATTTTTGGTGGTAACCACCTTGTTTTCAATGCCTCGAAAGTTCGCGTGGGGTTCAACGTAAACATCGCGCGTGCAAGTTTCACCTCATAGCCATTGATAGAGTGATCTTTGCAGCAAATGTTGCAGATCGAACCCTGAATGGATTTCAGTAGCCAAAAGGAGGTGTTGCCAGCTTAGCAGCAGCCAGCCTTTCACACCGCCTGTACCTCAAAGAATGATGAAAGCACAAGCAACACATCAAGCAACAGGCAAGTTGTCCTGATCGCCTCGGCGGCATGCAGCAGGCCGACACAGATCTGCTCTGCATGTGACCTGAACCTGCTAGCAGCTAGCAAAGTATGCAAGGACTTCAAGACCATCTCGGTCCAGCCGGAACGTGCGCAGAAGAGACGCCATCTGTGCATGTGCTGCTGTGCTCATTTTATTTTGCAAACGCCGCAGGTTTTGCCGCCGTCGGAAGTGGTGCACAGCGAGTGCCAAACGCTAGGGCCTCGTCATCAGCTGGCGCCTGTTGATTGCTTGCAGCTGTTTGCAGCGATTCGCAGGATGAAGTGGGAAGGGCTTTGCAGCAGGTCCAGCGGATTGGCTGGGATTGGCTCAATAGTTAGGAAAGTAAGGGCTGATGAATCAGGTGTGAGAAGATGTCGCGCGATATGGAACAGGCTGGCAGACGGTAGCCTGCAAAGGTCAATGTCTGGGTTGCTGCAGGTAGTTGCCGATCTGCGGGCAGAGCAGAAGCGCGGAGCTGATTTTATAGGCGTTTGCCCCCGATGAGAAACGGTGACCACGGTGCACACTGCAGGAAATGTGGCGACCAGCAGATTGAGGCTCAGGTTTTTCTGTTCCTTGATTCTTGGTGCACATGTGCTGTGCTACTTAGAGCATCATGCAGGCCCAAGAGACTCGGTGTCAACTGGTTGCTGCCCGTGAGCGCTTGATGGAGCTTCCGCCTCATCATGTGATTTTGTGCAGGCCTGGTCAGTTGCAAGCGTTCATCGCGAGGCTGGGACACGAAGCCAGGGTTCACAAGGCGCAGAACGATGTCCAGGTTGGAGTTTCAAACGCCGTATTTTGGCAGTGGATTTCCTTTGTTCTTGGTGTCATTCAGGTTGGCCAGCTGGAGCGTGCTTTGAAAGAACGCAATGCCATCGAGACGGATCGAAGACGAGCAGAGTCGAAACTGAAGGTTCTGGAAACGCAGCGAGACGTGGATTTTCAGACACTGCAGGAACTCCAGAACGAAATCACAGGGCTTAGGTTGCAGCTTTCTGCCAAGGTGGCAGCTGCAGAAGAGCTCCAAGAGCAGACTCAGCTTTTGAAGCAGTCTATGGTATCCACGCCGAATGACAAAGACTCTGGCACCAGTGCCGTCTGGCAAAAAGCACGTGCATTTGAGGAAAGGATCCGCGAAAAACAGGAAGCAAGAGAGGTCTCATCTCCTAAGATGACCCCTCAGGACTGCAAGGAACACGCAAAGGATGCAAAGGAGACGGAAGCTGGGGTGCCCTCAGTGCAGGCCCGAGAGTCCCGGGAGTCCCGGGAGGTTGGCAAGCCGCGGAGTCCCAACTCCCAGATGCGTGAGAAACTTGCCAAGGTGCGCTTCTCAGGCTTTGGCTGACTTCTGGTTAGTTTAGGGTTTCGATGTTTAAGGGTTTAAGGGTTTAGGTTTTAGGGGATGAAGGAATGGGAAAGAACGTGTTGAGAAACTTGCCAAGCAACGAGTAGCAACAAGTTTGTGAGATTCAGACTGAGGCTGCAAAACTAGCAATCTCACATTTTGGTGGGTTCGCTGCGTTTCCCGACACGAAGCTAGCAATCTGACATTTTGGTGGGTTCGCAGCGCTTTCCCACACGAAACTAGCAATCTCACATTTTCTTATGCCGCAGCCCTTTGACTGGAAGACAGTACAATTCAGGGGTGGACCTCAACAAGCACATGCTCCAAGCAAATGTGGAAAGTATTGGAAAGTTCTACGCGCAGGGGGGGCCCCTGACTACACTCGGAATCAAGTCTGAGGGTCGCGGTACTTGTGTTGGTGGTCGAACATTAACCAGAAGTACTACAGACTTTTACGGAGACAACAGCTTGATGTTGCTCGCTGATGTTTGAGAAATTCAGACAAGTCACAATACAGCAGGGGCAAAAAGGTTTTTGTAGGGCTTTCACCTGGGGCATCCTGGGCCATTTGCACGGGCACGGGATGCGTTGCAGCCCCGATTCTCCATTGCAGGCCAGGAGCCGGATCGAGAGGCTCGCCGAGGCGCATTTTTTCGCGAACCAAGTCATTCCTGAAACATCATGGTGCTCTTGGAGGTGAAGGATGTGGAGCCTGAGACTGAGCCAAAGACCGGCCCTCAGATGTGTAATGATCTGCAAGGATCTGCCGAAGATTCGTGTAGCTGAGGCTAGGATGCGAGCAGCCTGCTTGCGAGAGCGGCTTCGAGGTTGAAGGAGTGCAGTGATTTCCCAAAGACACTTCTGGGTTTAGGGCTATATAGGGATCATAGTATATAGGGGTTATATAGGGATAATGGTAAAGAACATGGAAACTACTATTTAGGGTTTTCTCTTCCTTTTTGGCTGATTTCTGCCAGCCATGCAGCTCGTGCCTCGACTCCCATCATCCTGGACACCTCACGCATCAAACAGAGTTTTGGAGTTCTGTTTCGGGGTGTGAGTTTTTGGCTTGGGCTCCAGGTCCAGGGTTCGGGAATTACGGCTGGCAGTTAAATTTTTGTAGGGATTTCGGGTTCAATCTTTTATGGCGTCAGGTTCAGGGTTTTCAGGATGCCTAGGGTGTAACCGGGTGGTGGTGGCAGCAGTGACTTTCCGCGCTGGGCGGAGGGGTTTGCAAAAGTTCTTTGCAAAAATTCTGCCAAGCGCCACCCTCCACAGTCCACTGGAGTCGCTTACCTTGATTTAAAAACCATTGAAGTTTACTGCTGAAATTCAGCGGCATGCTTTGAAGAAAACCGACCCGTGACATCATGGAAGGAATGCAGGTTTTCACGAGCCTTCACCCACTTCTGTCTGGGTAGGTAGGAGGGAGAGAGAGAGAGAGAGAGAGACGGGCTGGGCAGTGATGCCTGGAAAGGAGCTTCGGCTCTTCTCCATAGCCCGAATGAAAGAAAGAAAGAAATAAAGAGACTAACCTCCTCCTAACATTCGACTGTGACAAAGAGGGGTGAGGTTTGGACAGATCAGCCCAACAGGAGCTGGGCATTGAAGCCTGGAAGGGTCCTTATGGGCCTTCCCATAACCCTAATGAAAGAAAGAAAGACTAGGGAATGCTACATAACGATCCAACTGAGACAATTGAGACAACAACCAGTGGAAACTGTGTTTCCAGTGAGAGCAGAATTCAGCATGCCTGAGAATTACCAGGTGGTAAAGCCCAACAGGGAAATTGGCTACCGTGACCTTCACGATCCATGCACGCAGTTCGCTGTGCCCACAGGGGGGAGTAAAATCTTGATGCGGGGGCAAGGTCTGGGTAGCGTTCTTAGGTGACGTGGCACTGCACGCGAACAAATTCGGGAAGACAGTTGAAATGCGGGAATGCAAGCGATGTACATGCTCTGTTAGATTCTGAACAAATGGGGAGAGAAGAAGATCTATCCTGGAGTCATGGTATCAGCAAGGTACGCCTGTTTCTCTCCTCAACAGCATTCAAGATTCCCATGCGCTACGAGTTTTCACTGTTTCCCCGATTCCCTCATGCTAGCAGGCTTCGAGATGTGAGGATCCCGAATCAGGAGAATCTACTGTACACTGGATTGTAGTGCGTGCAACTTGATGTATGTGGGCGTGGAAAGCGATCAACTCTTCCTCAGCCGATGATGGCATTGTGCACAGTTGTAGCATGTCCAGTCACAGCAACCGAGAAGGGAGAGGGGGTTGGGGAGAAGAAGGGGGTAAGGGGTAGCATAGGAACGGTCCCTCGGGGTTGCAGGTGACAATGTTTCCTCCTTAGACAAAGTCCTGTGCTTGGGGCCTAGCCCTAGCGTGGGCCTTCGGGACCGCGCATAGAAATAGAAGAAGAAGAAGAAGACTAGGGACGGGACTCTGAAACTGTCGACCTTGCTGACATGTCAGGTGAAGAGTCGAACACTGCTGTTTGATGGGGTCCAACAGCTTGCTTTAAGGTACTTTTAAGACTTTAAGGGGGTCTGCCACATGTTTTCCTAGAGGGAGCTCTCCAACTGGTAGATGCAAATTGGCACACAGTTCCCACCATCGTAAACATAGCCAGGCATTAACCTGATGCAGAAGCCACTGGGCAACAAAATTGCCCTCGAAACAAGAATGTGCAGAAAAGAGATGGAGAACAGTACCATCCACGGAGGGGATGGGCCCAAAGCAGCGTCATTACGAGCTGTTTTGATCGTTACCGCGAGGGATGCCTGAATTAGAACATAGAGGGGACATTGCAGCCAGTGAGGGAGAGTGGAGCTCGAATCAATGTCATGGCAAGCTAGTTTGATTGTTACCCCAGTTTCGCAGCGAGACATGTATGGGTTTGAGGGAGAGGTAATGCTGCAATGCCGTGAGTGTAATACACTTGAAGGTGAAGCCAGTACACCGGATAATGAAGTATGGTAGGATGCCTGTTCACTTAGCCGATTGTTTTGGGTAAGGACAGCTTACAAGAAACTGGCAAAACAAGATCCCCAGTGTACAGCTCACAGCGCTGCCATTAGAGCAGTCTTGAGGGGGAGGGGCCTTCACCACCCAGAACAGCCGTGATAGTAGTCCTAGACTGTGTAATTGGTAGAAGCGTTTGGAGCAGGGACCATGGCTCATCAGGTTAGAGTAGGGGAGAAGCTGATACAGTGTGCCCTACATGGGGGAGGGTTAGCATGGGTAAGACTTAAATGCACACGAGGGCGGTCTGTATTGATATTATCCCGGTCCTCACCTTTCCCGACCTAACGACTGAACCTGTGCGCGGCTGTGGGGCGTAGCCCCGACCTGCCCTTTCGGGGGTGGGTATAGCCAGTAGAAGAAGAGACTAGGGACCACCTGCGACAGACTGCGGGGCTTGGGGCTGTGCCCCAGGGGACATCTTCGGATGTCTCTATAGCCCTGAAAGAAAGAGCGACCAAAGTGCGTGCAGCTGTGAGAAGAAGAAGAAGAGCGACTAAAGATTTAGATTTTCCAGCGAAAGGGATGCTTGGAGATGTGGGAGGCTCAACCAAGAGGCCAACCCTTCCACAGCATGCACTTTCTAGGAATTTTCTGCTTGGGGAGTTGGGAGAGCGTCTGTGGAAGCTTGGGATTTGGGGTTCGGGGGAGAAGAAGAAGATGAGGTAAATCTGCAACGGTCTTCCCAGGAAGGTTTTTTCGAGCAACGTTGTATGTACAGCTTCCCTGCCTAGCCCGATCGCGGACTGCACAGCGCATAGAAGACGAAGAAGAAGAGAGACTAGAGGCCACCCCGGTCCTGGTGGGACTCATCTTCAGGTTCTGCAGAGACGAAAGAAGAAGACTACAGGCCACGGCCCATAAATGCTAGGTATTCTGTGAAGCCAGGGTCTTTGGTGACGGTGCAACAGGCTAAGCTTGACATGGGCGGGGAGTAGACGGCCAATGGGCCTCTCTCAACGAAAGAAATCTGACTGAAAGAGTGGATGTACAGTAGCCAGTAGAAGGAGAAGAGCGAACGCCAGATCCGCCATCAAGTGCCTCCTCAGCTAGCAACTCTACGGCCAGCCTTTCACCTCGCCGAGTGCTGAGCACCGATCTGCGTGCAAAACTTACAGAGATCATGCCAAACGATTTTGTTACAGCAAGGCCTATCGCCGGACAACAATTGGCGCGGTTCGGAGTCTGGAGAGTTCAAGCCTCGTATTGGCGTGACAATTGCAACATTGCAACTAGTGGCTGTGCGAGGTGTGCTGAAGCATGCTCGAAGGGAGCTGCGCACGGAACTCAAGCTCTCAGGTGTCTCAGGGAACTTTTGTAAGTGCGAAGGCCTTCGATATTTGTTCAGGCCATGCCTTCCTGAGCTGCAGCTTGGAGTTCTTCACCAGGACGGTACCTGATACAGGTCGATCCTTTCTGAAGTCCAACATTTTTTTGCTCAAGTTGAAAGTAGGCTTCCATGCCTTGGGTCATGGGCTTGGGTTTGCATTGCCGACTGTCTTAGGCAATGCATAGCGTGTGCAGTGCCGGCACATTGCTTTTGTTGCAGTTTCACTGCGTGGCAGCTTGTTGGGCGGCTACAGAATTGTCAATGTACCTGACTTTAGTTGCCCTTGGTGTAGGTGTACAGTTCCAGAGTACAGTCTGGGCAAGCGAAGAGATGCAAGTCGGCCGTTTTTGTTTGTCCGTTTGTCAGCAAGCGCGGCGTGAAGCATGATCCAGATGCAACCAGCAAGCAATTGTGTGCCTTCTGTTCAGATTATAAACAGAAATGAGGGAGAGGGTGCAGCTTCTCAGCATCCATGAAGTCAGCGACAGCCTGAGCGCATTGTTTAGCTGACCAACTTTCTTCGTTCACGTTATCAATGCTCAGGCATTCGCGTGGCAGCCTTTGTGAGATGACGCATTACAGTGGGGAGCTCAGGTGAGCTTAGGCGCAGAGATGGTCGCCGTGTCAAAGCCTTGCTTACCCAGGTGAACTTGGCATAAGCTGGTCAGCCAGCCATCGTGCGATTTGTACAGCATACCGGCAGAGAGCGCTGCAGACTCACCCGGACAAGGACGACTTGAAATGTGGTCTTGTGTCGACCATGTTTGTCCGTAAGAAGAGCGAACCCTACTCCTGTCCTAAAATGAATTTGTCCAAGAGTTGCGAAGAGCTCAGATTGAATTCAGACCTTGGCAGTCTCATTAGACCTCTGATTTCAGGTGGTTGTGTCCTGTATACTTGAAGTCTCCAATCCATTACACTTTCTGTACTGGCCTCGAGTTCCAGGCCATTGTTGCCGAGCAAACACTAAAGGAAAGAAAAGCATGGCAAAGCAGTCCGGTGCAGGTGAAGCCTTAACAGTATGCCAAGATAAGACGCGGACATTTCAACAATAGAACCGGGGCCCACTCAACCCCGCATGCTCTTGCGCATCACTGGTTTCAGGGCGGCAGCCACGATGCATACGTCCGGGTCCGCCAGGCATTCGAGGCATGGAAGAATGATGCAGTTTTTTCGTTTTTGCTTCTGGGCAGCGGTCGCGGCAAGCTCGCAAGCTCTGCAGACTCTGCAGGTGCTGAGCGACCAGAACCTACGTGCAGATTACGATGCGGAGCTCAGAGCTGCCGGAGCACGAGGTTGCTTGCCCAGCGAGAGCCGCAGCATGCAGCATGCTGCAGCTTGATTTCTAGATGCAATCTGCTGGGCAGACTCGAGCGAAAGTTCTGGCTCAGTACCGACAGCTTCAGCAACAGGCCTTGTGGGACCTGAGCTTGACCTGTGCCATCCTGTATAAGTTCAGGTTCCGGTGGATCTTCAGCCTCGAGACAGCAACCGCTCGTCCTGTGTCTCGCTCACAAAAAATGGGACAGTAAATCATAGGACCATAGGATTGCTTTGAAGCACAATCAGATTGAGGATGGGTAACACGCCTTGGCAGGAAGCTTCCAGGACAGTCGATACATGAATGCAGTAGGATTGTTGCATGCCCTCTTGACAGCATTCAGGACAATAGCTGGGATGATGGACCTCCCAGAGTCCGCCTGGGCAGCTGTGTTGGAGACACACAATGCGGAGGCTTGCTCTTCGGACCTTGACCAGGTTCACCATCATCCGCTTGAGAGGTTCTTGAATGTTGCCGCAAGCAGCTACAAAGATGTCGGACTGCGCCTCGGAGTTGTTGAGTGATCAGCCACTTCTCTTTCGTACTTACATGGTCCCAGTAGAACCGCAAGGGAGACGCCGAATCTACGCGGCCAAGCGGCCAAAGAGTGTGGCACAAAGCTTCAGAGCAGAGCATAAGGCATGAGATAAGCTGCTGTCAGACCAGCTGAGATAACGCTTGGACTGAAAGGTCTGCCGCGTGTGCTGCGGATGGTCCCTCTGTCAGAGGCCTCTACCAAACAAAGCGAGGTGGGGAAATGCTGACAGCGGCTCCCTGCGATTCTTTGCGCTTCACTTTCCTGCTGGTGCAAAGGCAGCTGGGAGGTCAGCCCACGCCTCAAGACCTTGCGCAATTGACTGCAGACTTTGACTGGTCCCTTCTGAGGCCTGTCTATACAAAAGGTCCAATGCGCTATTTTCAATGTCCACGAGATTGAGAGGGCGCATGATTGGCATATAGCCCTTGTTTTCAGCTTAGATTGATCCAGATGCCGCAGAGCCTTGTATGAGCCCCGAGCACCCACTTCAGGTCGAGCTGCGCCGAAAGGCTGCAGCCTCATGAGTTTTGCTCCATCATTCGAACCTCAACTGTGCTGCATGACATCACATGATGCCACGTGCAATGAGGTCAGTGAGAACCTGACAAAGGACTACTCAGAGCGAGAAGCCTTCAGAGCGACTTGTCAGCATTTTTTGCTTTGCAAAAGCCTTGGCTAAAGCAATTTCTGTTGTTAAAGCATGCGGATGTTCCTCAGGAAGCCTTGGAGGAAAGTTACGAAGCCGACCCAGAGCTAAAGCTGGTTCTGAGCTTCCGAGTGAGCATCCGAGAGGCCCCACAACCCAAAGCAGTCTCCAGTTTTCCTCCTTTTGCAGCTTGACAAGCAGGACAAGAAGGTCATCAACGGTCCTCTTACCCATCGCTTGGAAACGGCAGTCTTGGCATGTTCTTCTACCTTGATGCTTTGTCGCTGAATGCTGTGGCAGGCCCTGCAGTTGCGAAATCGAGTGCAACAGCTACGGAACATGCGCGGATCGTTCATCCCTGAGAATCATGGATTTGGTGCTCCAAGTGCATGCCATGCTCGAAGCCAGCCCAGGTCGCAGGATATTGACAAGGAGATTCGGGATGCCAAGACCTATGAGAAGAAGCCCCCCATCCGCAGTGCGCAGTCGTGATATTTTGCCACAGATGAATCCCGCTCCAGTGTCCGCCGGAGCAGGCAGAGGGATCTTCACAAAGCCCGACAGGCACGAAGTGGTCCAGCCCAATGAGCGCCTGCGTGCCCGGACTGCGCACAGATTTGAGCAGGCAGCCATGCTTCAGGAGGTCCTTGCTGTTTTGGAGCAGCTTCGGCGAGAGGTGCGCGTGCCACAGAACCAACGCAGCACAGTACCACTCCGTTAAACTCTTCCACCAGGAGGCAGCGCGAAAGCGGCAGCTAGACTCCTGGTATCCGGAAGAAGCATCCAATTGCTACTCTGCTGCACTCAGGAGTGCCCCGCTACCTCTGCCAGCACCAGAACAGCCAGAAGCAGTGGACGCAGCACCGGACACGCAAGAAGCGGAAGCTGCAGAAGCACCGGCTGAAGAGGCTGACGCATTGCCAGCTGCTTTCAATCTTCGTGACCTGCGGATTGAGGACAAGGAAGATCCTGGTCCTGCGCAGGTGGATGGCTACGCCGTCAATGTCTTATTGCTTGCTTTGCGCAGACGAGCCCCAGTGCTTTTCAGCGTGAGGTGCCAATCAAGAACTTCGCAAAGCGGGAGTCTCAGCCTGCGGCACCGGATGTAGGGCTGGGCTGATGTCTCATTGACAGCTGAGGTTCTGCAGAGCTATGTCATTGTCCAAACCGCAGCGGGAGAAACTTGTCAAGCCTTGGGCTCAAGTTGGCATGGTTTGACTGACAGATGCTGTGTAGGTTCGGGTGTCTCTAGGGACTCTTTCTTCCTCAGCAATCTCCTTAGCACAAAGAGAGGCATGAAGGGAGCAAACTCCATGGACTTGGCCACGCGGTGCAGAAATCATGCTGTGCCAGACATGTGAAGCTCGAGCCGAGGCTCGTGCAGGATGACACTGAGGTCCAGAATGCTATCCGCGAGGTCGCTTCAAAGGTTTGTTCTTAGTCGTTTCTGGAGCAAGCATCTCTTGAGGCAATCGTTCGTCACTGCGGAAATCTCCGTGGAGCTCCAGCCTTGAAGGCTGACAAGTTTCTATGGCTCCTTAGCGCTGTCGTGACCGGGGAAGCAGACCTATCCATGCTAAACAACACGCGTCCACTATGAATGCAAGGACAAGACGGTCAACGTGCGGCACTTGGAACTGAGTCTCCCACATCTCCCACTTGTTCTCGGTTTTATCTTTGTCGTCACCTGGCAGGCTACTCGCTATACTATATTATTCTACTGCAGCCTCTAAGGTTCCAGCCATGGCAGGCAGAAGTCACAGAGGCCGGGCACGCGTTCTCATATGTTCTCATGGCTGGTACTGTTGTCAAGGTGTACATGGGATAGACAAGGTCGTTTGCAAGCCTTGCCCTGCAGGGTACTCCACAGCCTTGGTCGCATACAGAGGCAAAGATGCTTTGGTGAAGGAGAACGGAAGCACACGTTTTCCCCACTTTTTTTTAGGAGCCGCGACGGGCGCTCCTCGGAAGAAGGGGCTGCTCGAGCTTTTGCGCCCTTCTCAGTCCCCCTCCAATAGATTTGGCCTGCATTTGTTTTAGACACATGTATTGAGGCTGGAGAAGCACGAGGGCGCTTTCTACCCTGGCTTACTGACAATCCGGGAGCTAGTCAGAGTGACGTCCACTTGCCGGCGTACCTACAGTTCATCAGCCGCTGCGACAAAGCGTGAACGACTTGGCAATTCTCGGGCGCATTATGAAGCAGAGGTGATGGCTTGGCACTTGTCATTGTCAGGTCAGCTGGCGAACTTTCGGATAGCGGATTTCGGTCAGACAACTGCAAGGTCGAAGCGTGGACGGGCCCGGCTCCAATTCTGCTTTACATGACAAATTTGGCATGGTCGCTGCTCAATTCATGTGTTGCTGAGGTTTTGCCACGGGGAGAGCTTCGCGAGCTCCGGATGCTTCAGGAATGTTTGCGGACGAGGCTATCAGTCAGAAGAACGACAGTCCCTTTCTTTGCGCAGAATGCTAAAATGCCTGACAAAAGGCGATTCGCGCTGCAGATCCAGCACTTGGACCTATCAACCCTGTCGGCATCTTATCCGCGTACGGAGCACTGTGGCTCAGTGCTGTATGTCTTGGCTGAGGGAGATGTCATCCATCAGCAAGCAGGACTTCCAATACATGCTCGGGTGTTTGCCCAATCTAGCCATTGCCTTATAAAAGCTGAGACGTGCGCCCTACCCTTCTTGGACATGCTGATGCGCAGAACCCTTCTAGGTGTCAGTCATATTGCCCAGCAGAGGCCATGCAACCAGATCAAACAGGAAGGCGGTACGCAGCAGTTTTGGGATGCAGGCTGGGCGGGTACTCTTCAGCTACGCACCTTCGTGAACATTGCGAAGTCATTGAAGGCTCGGCACGCGCAGCTTCTGCAAGCGCATTTGGGGTCTTTGCTTGGCTTGTAATCCTTGATCTTGATTAGTAAGCACCCCCCCCTCCCTAGATCAATAACCGCGGCCCATGATTCTAGGCATCCCAGACGGTTTTAATGGTTTTAAAGATTTCTTAGGTCTTAAGTGGATAGTGAATCGATTTTGACAAGATTTTAATGGATTTTTAGGGTCCGGGGATAATTTGCTTTACGTCTAGAGTTCTTTTGGGCCCAAAACTGCCTCCGCCTTTAAACTAATCTTTGACCCCAAAATTTTCCCAACAAGTTTGTCTTTGAATCTAGGGGGTTTCTTTAATCAAGAGCACGGATTACCAGAGATGCAATGTGTCGAGGTCAGCATTGGAGCGCTGAAAAGCGATTACATGATTTTACGCGGCGCGGCGCACAGGCCAGAACAGCTTGAAACTCTAGGGCCGATGCCGAATTGGGAGCTCCGTATCAGGCCCGCGGATGATCCCCAGCCAGCGCCGCTGGCAATCACCGCAGGCCAATGTCTTGCGGAGGAGGCGTGAAACCGTTGTGCTTTGATCCCAGGGCCTCCGGTCCGCGCTGAGCCCAGCAGAAAACGGCCTCGTCCGCAGGTTTCGGTGCAGCTGCTCAGGGTTGCTGAGGTTTTTGATTAGTGTTGGAGCTTCCCAGTGCTTGCAAATGGGATGCCAGATTTCTCCCAAAAATCTGTGAAGGTGGCCGATGAGCCCCCCCGCAGACCTCAGCGCAAGGCTCGCGCTTAACCGAATCTCTGGGAGTTGTGGCACCGCAAGTTCATGCCAGTTCCAGGTACAAACAGCACAAGCAGATAGCGAAGCTCTGGGCTTTCGCGCAGCGTTGGAAGATTTGAAGCGTGAGTCTGATAGACTGGTGCCAGCATCGTACGTTCCGCCCGCGTTGGGTCAGACCTCAAGCAGCCGAGCACCGTGTCTCCCTGAGACGCCGGAGTTGCAACCTGCTGTCCAAGTATTACGCTTGGGAGGTTTAAGACGCAGGAAGGAGGTCACAGAGAATCAGCGAGATTCAGACCGCCCAGACCGCCCAGACCGGCAAGACCGTCAAGCCGGTCACAGTTTCTGGTGGCCAGAACGTCGGTGAGCAGCAAAGCAGGCAAGGGGGGTGTCATGCATTGCGGCAGCATTTCCGCAGGCGCTGTGTGGTTGTATTGATTGCTTTAGATTGGAATGATCAACTGAACATGGTGAATGGTGGCAGAATTAGTGCAGATGCGTCTAGATTGAAATGCAGTGCGCTCACGTTCCGGCCAAAGTTGCTACGCACAGTCCTGTCTATCTTCAAGACCGATGGGTCAGAAGTGCTACAAGCCAGCCTTTAGTTTTCACCAGCAAATGTGGGATAGACCATCACGCTGCAGCACTGTGCAGAGTGCGGTGGGCACGTGGATGGGCAGAGTAGGTGCCAGAGCCCTTGGGCGCAAACAAGTGCAGCTATAAGTTGCTTGCTGAGACACCTTCCCTGTCCCTAGCATGCCTGGCTGAGACGTGCTGCGAGTCTTGAGTGAATCATCATGGGCCCAAGCCAGGTGGGGCGCATGTGTCATCAACGCTTCAGGGCAACTTCGGATGCAATGCCCCTTGCTTTTTAAGCATTCGTAGTTCCAAAAAGCCTTTCAGTCATTACCCGCAGCTTAAGTAAATTCAACCCCTTGGCGATGGCGTTGATACCGGGCACCTTGGTGGACATCAGCGGGCTGCCTGGCAAAGCAGAGCCAGTTCCGAGCGCCGCAGCGGATGGCGTCGAAGCGGTCGACTTGAACGGCACGTCAGCGCAGCTGGTGCAGTATGACAAAGCCGCCAAAAAGTGGATTGCAGCGACCTTCTCAGGAAGAATGATTGCCATTGATCAAAAGAACATCCGTCCCGTGCAGTCAGAGGCTGTCCAGAAGTATGATTTCGTTTTGGGCCCTAAATCGGATTATGAAATATCGGGACAGGAGATCACAAGAGCACTAGCAACAAAAGGATATGCTCTGGTCAAGCTTATCGTTGCCGAAGAAGACGCTGCAGAGATGGTTTCCGTGGCACAACAGCTGGATGACAACGAGCAGTTCAGCCGCCTTGCGATCGAGTTTGAGCGAGGCTACCTGGGTGATGAAGGAAACGCAAAGACGGTCCACGTCGGTCTGGATGCCTCCGATACGCCGGACTTCATTAAGCGATCTCCGCTGAAGACGATGGACAACAATTTTGGTCAGCTCTGCTCGATGCTGTCCAAGTACTCCGAGGAGAATCTAGGCTTCGAGGTCTATAGCAGGACTGAGATGCTCCTTCGCATGCCACTTGCGGATGGCGAGGAAGACAAGTACCCCCCAGCTGACATTGACGATGGGGATGCCGAGGGCTTTCTGCATTTGATGTACCGTAGAAGGCTGACAGTGCTTCAATTTGTTGGGCCTGCAGGCGGGTCACTGAAGCTTCTTCCGGTCAAGGAGGGTGATCAGGAGATTGACCTCGCCGCTGACCCACACACGATGCTTGTCATGCTGAACAGCCGATGGGAGTACAGCTACAGTCCTGCTGGAAAAGCTCTTGCGCTGCAAACCTTCATGCTTGCAGAGCCTGCCATCTACTGTTTGGAGGATGAAGTTCAGGGCAATGTTGAGAATTTGACTGGTCAGTCAACCGGTCCTCCACCACCTCCAGGTGAACACTGCACAATCGAGTCGATGTACTGTCGCTACGGCATGCAGGCTGACGGCCGTCACCAGTTTTGGCAGGGAGCAGCCAAAGCGTGCTGCGATGGACTGACAGAGGTCCCTGTCACGCGATGGGACCATGGGCCATACTTTGATCCCGAGTCACAGTTTGGAGGGGCCTACACTCGTCACGGCTGCTTCGGTATCGAAGGTGTAGACCTCTTTGATTGCAAGTTCTTCGAGATCTCACCCATGGAGGCCAAGGGCATGGATCCCTGTCAGCGCCAGGCCGGAGTTCTGCAGATTGGTTTCTCCCCCTTGTTCTGATTTTCTCTTGAGGTCATGGAGGTATCCTACATGGCACTCCTGGAGGGCGGCTACGACAAGAGGCTGATTAGGCAAGATAGCACAGCAATTAGCTGCATTTCTTCACACTGTCAGGAGCCTGCAGAGAGAGGCGCAGAACATTGGCCACTTTGTTGGCATTGACAAGGACGACTGGATGTGTCTGCGAACTTAGATGCTTTGCCATGCTTTTCTGTCCTTCCAGTGACGGCCTGCATGCTGCCGCCTCTGAGGCATGAGTGCTGCTGGCATGTTGGACTGTGGTGGCGGTGCGCATGGTGCAGCTGCTGCAGCCAATGCCATTACCTCCAATCGTTTTTCCTATTCCATGAACCTGAAGGCACACAAACTTGTGAGGATGCCCCAACTGCAAAGCCAAAGCAACATGCGCGTGTTTGTGAGGGTGCGAGCATGACCATCGACACTGCCTGTTCCTCCTCTCTTGCCTGCACCTTTGTAATTTCCAAGTTGGCCGTATCAAGGAGCCCTACTGTAAGTGCCACAACGGTGCAAGCTTCAAGTGTCCTGCAAGCTGGGCCGGTACGGAATCAGTCCGAGGTCTGCACGCACGTGTCCAAGCTCCACTTGCGCTTCAAAGACTATGAACCAATGCCTGCAAGCATCGTGAACGGTCCCTTGCTGTCATCAGCAGCGTTCAGGCAAGCAGGGAACTTGCAGCAAGCAGCACGCTTGCAAAGGCTTGAACCTCATGCTGTATCCTGGACCCTTTGTCGGGTGCTGCGCAGCCGGTATGCTGAGTCATGACGGAAGGTGGGGGTGTTGCCAGGATGCGCTGCCGTGTTGATGTGTAAGTTGCGGTATTGGCCGGTTCAGGTGCTTCACGTTCAACTCCACCGCTGATGGCTATGCGAGAGGTGAGCTGCATCGACCTCAGTGCAGGGCGCATGAGCGAGTGGGCTTGTTTTGTTGAGAGCCATGACCATGTTGTGCAATGCTTGCGTGGCTGTTGGATGTGCAAAGGTGTGGTGCTTTGTGCTTCAAGCTGAAGCAATTTGACCCGTCGACTGGGTCAATTTGCTGCCTAGCTGGCAGTCAGTCGAACCAGGAGTGTTGGGTCTCTCCAAACTTGACCGAACAATGTGAAGGGAATTCGACCTGTTTGGTTCCAACTGCTTACTTGGCTTCCTGGCATGTTGGCTTTTCGGCTACCTGTGTTGTGCGGCTGGTTGGCTCCATGGCTTTTGGATCCTTGGCTCGTTGGCTTCCACTATATTCTTCATATTTTTATGTTTGTTTTGCAGCTTCATGAGTATCATTGTGGTAAGAGCATTATCAAGATTGCGCTGTCCTTGCTTCAGTATGATGTTGAGAACATAGTGTTCCCTCCTATTACTGCTGCCGCCTTCGTCTTTCTTCTAAGTGTTTCAGGCACAAGCAATAAACTTTCCCGCACCTGCGTCCAGGTTTTCCAAACTCGGGGGAGCTGCCTCCAAGCCTCTGGCTTCTTGCGGATAAGGGTAGGATGCGGCAAAGTGAAACCTAGGGGCTCAAGCCTCAAATTTTGTTTTCATCAGTTCTTCATCCAGGATTTCATCTCGTGTCCCTGCGGCTGTCTGCAGGCTTTATTTGGTTTATTTTGTTGGCTCCGGTGGAAAGGTGAATCCAAGAAATCTTATGTCAGTAGATGATCAGTTTGCTGGGCCGACGGGATTTTATCTTGGTGCGCTGGGCAGCCTTCCACTGTTTTAGTAATTTGGAGCCAGTTTCGATGACACAGACGACAAAGCCTGAGTCTCCCACTGTGATAGTTGGATGCGAGGGTTTCGACGACGAAGCCAACAAAGTCCGAGCTTGCCGCCGTGATGGTGGGACTTTGAGCCACCACTGGTGGCATCACAACCTTGTTCCAGCCTCCGCACCACGTCAAAGCCCCGTGAACATTCAAAATATGTATTCTCGATTGCCCCGCATGCCCCCATAATTTATCCAGACAAAATCCTGGGATAGCTTGCCCACATATGCAATCCATGTCTTCAGAACACCTCAATTCCCTGACAAAGCCTGTCAAAAACTGAGCAAGAAGCTGCATGTGCCCAGCCTTGTCAACGCTTTGCAACCGGAGGGCCTCCGTACCTTCTGATATGTGGCGAACCCAGGCAAGACTCAGTGAGAGCCCAACGCTCTCGTTTGCATTTTGATATAACGATCACATACCATCACTATAACTGTTGCTCTTTATTGGCATCGTTTTTTTGCTATTCCTACACATGCGATTACCATTCTCCAAATTAGTATTCTTGCCGTTGGTGTTGCGATTTCATGCATGTTTCATGGTTTGATTCTTATTTCAGTTGTTGTTAACAGTACTTCTACTACCACTATCTAGTACCATGACTACTGTTCTACTTCCTGACGCCAGTAGTTTCAGTTGTTCTGTTGCTTTTGCTCGTTTTAATATTATTGTTGTTCCTACAGTGCTATTGCTAGGACTAGTGCTGCTATTGTGATTGCATGTACAGCTTTACATGTTGTAATGATATCTTCATGATCGTTGTTATTCCTACTGTTCTTACCCTCGCCTAGCTAAAAACTCACATACCGCATACGCCTAGGCCTAGGCTTTCGCCTGGATTCGTCTCGGCCAATCAAACTGGCACACAGAGCATGCTCGCATTTTCGATCCAAGTTGCTCTCTTGCTTGGAGTTTCATCATAGTTTTGCACGATACAGGTGTCCCCCCCACGAGGGTAAAAGTATTAGTATTGTGTTGGTATTCGCGTTAGTATTAGTACAGGTATTGCAGGCAATCTGCTTCAACTACAGCTAGAGCGCGCCTCCAACGCACCAGTACCATGAGTACCGCGCCACCAGTCACTATAGTTCCCGTCAAGTACATGCTCCCTGTTTCTCCCCCCTGCCGCCTCCCCCTCCCCCCCCCCCTTCCCTTCACCCCTCTTCCCCCCTTCCCGCCCCCCGTTTCGTGACATTCAAGCACACTGCCTGGGACGTCTTATCATTGGCGTGCCCTATCAAGAATGTGCACAACACCACATGTTCTCATTTTCGCCCATGCTTTACACATGGGGTGACTGCATCCCCAACCTCCACACTTTTTCCATGTACATATTGTAAACATTGGGAGGTGTATTTTGCAAACTCTGGAGGAAACTATGTGTTCTAGTCTTCGTCTAGGGTTTGCAAGATGGGGCACGCCCTCCCCCACCCCCCCAGCCTCCCGCTATTTGTTTTTTCAAGCAGGAGGCCTGGCGAATCCGATTGATTTTAGAAAGAGGCTGCACATTCGCACCTTCGCCCATGCTTTACAAACTGGGGAGGGTTCATAACACAATATGATCATCAATGGTATTACTGCTCATACTAGAACGCATACATTTATACTGCCATCGTCTCCCCACAGGGCCCAGCACAGAGCCAACTAGTGCCCATGCGGCTGTTTTTATTGATTTTTCTCGCAGTCTGACAATCATCGAATCCATCAAAAATAAAGTAAAGATCTTCAATACACTAGGGCACAGCGAACAGATGACTAAACCTGTACTGGCAGAAAGTTTTCAATCCAAATGTCAGGTCAACATTTCTTTACGGATGTGAATGCGTACAGTCGCGATCCCTTTGACGCATTCTGGGCCTACCTCCTACTTTTATTAATCATCAATTCGAATCGTCAATCTACGAATGTACATCCAAAACCAATGTTGATGTGTTTTCGAACATTTTGGAGCCACGTGGAAAACCGAGACTCAGATTATTTGGTCATATTCTCCGCTCCACTCCAGCGTATCCTATGAAGCAGGTGACACTTGATAATGACAATCTTCATCCGAGACCTGTTCACACCAGGCGTGTTGGACGTCCAAAGCTGGACTGGGTTGTCGAACCTTGCAAAGAAGCTTTTTGGAGTATTAACGGACATGGAGCGATATCGGACATACATAACATCGACCATTTACACCAACTCATAGCACAAGCGGTTGCCACAAGGCCGCCAATTCATTTAGTCACTCCAGGCTGCGGCCTCTCAAGGTAATAGCTCTTGGGATTCAGATTTTTGCTGTACTTTCACATAGTGCAGCGTGTTTGTACATACATGTGCTTGTCTGTACTCTTGTACCTTGGCTCGTCAGGAGCTCAGTTCTGCTCATTGGAAAATTGTTTGTGCTGGAAATAGTGCCGCTAGCAATCTCAATGTTAACACAAATGCCAATTTTAATAGTCATGCCCAAGCTGTCGTAATGTGAATACGATAATCAGCAGCACTATTTTCTGTAGGAACATGCATACAGATACCAGTAATAGTATGTTCGTATTAAGACCCATCTCATCCCACAAGAATTCCCGCGCATATCTCTCTTTTACATGCTGACATGTCTTTTTGATCCCTAGACGCCTGGGGAGGGTTCCACGGATCCCGTCCCCCACCCATATTTTCAGAAGCGTGAAGTATCCTCACATGTTGGCTCCACGGGCTGAAACATAGCTCTCGCCTGGAGCATCTTTTTATTCGGGCTCAACATCGCGCTCTAACGTGGAGCATCCTCGTATCCTTTCGAAAAACCGTTCTCTCAGGTGAAAAATCGTAACAATTTCGCCTAGACTTCTCGGAACCCCTAGCAGAACAGAAAACTACACCTAAATCAGTTGTTCACCCCCTCCACGCAATGCAGGATGGGCGAAGTGCCAGTTTGACTGCCCCCAACGGGCCGGCTCAGGACGCAGACCCTGCCTGCAATGCCAAGCGCAGTCTGCAAGCGAGCCTAGCATGAGGAGAAGTGCATCAAAGCGGTGCTCCGCGAGTGCAAGCTGACGCCGACAGAGGTTGATTGCATTGAGTGCCATGGGACCGGAACGCCGAGTCCTTGGTTGCCCAGCACCAGCTGGCAACTGGCGTCGTGTAGTGTGAAGCAAGTCTGATTTGCAGACCTGCTGAGGGCCCTGGGTGATCCTATCGAAGTTGGATCCTTCAAAAAGGCCAGCGAGCAACTACTGCATTGGCCACGTGGGACAGATTGCCTTTGGTTGCAGGTGATGAGTGCAACTCCTAGAAAGGAGCCCCTTGTGATCACGTTGCGCTGCCTGCACTAGATCATATGCATGGGACGTATGGTAGGCGAGAGTAAATCCTTTGTTCCCAATATCTTTCTAGAAAGGTCTTCCAAGTCCAACATTGCACACGGAGAGGGCGGTGACTCAGACGCAGCTGGAAACGATTTTGAATCTGACTACAGCTAGGCTGCTTGAACAGCTAGTACTCGTAGAGCAGCTGCCAGAAGCCAGGTGCAGGCTTAGCAGGCTTTTTCAAGTGCTGCCTCCAGGCCAGGTCTTTGGAAGCCATGGACGTGACTTGCGCGCCTTTGTGGGCAGGTTTCCAACTGTGAGGGCGCGTCAAACGTGCACCTGAAGGTGAGGTGTAAGGCGAACCGAACGGGGCAAGTATTCAGCAATGGAAATGAGGTGAGAAATCCGCATTTGGACATGGAGGTGCAGAGCCTTAGGGTCTTTTGTGTCAAAAAAGTACTCTTTCTTTGTCAGAGCCGCGCTGAGCTGAGGGCTTCCCATGTCAGATTCTCTCGGAGTCCGTGGCGATGCGTGAGGACCGGACCCAAATAGCAGTGTATTCTGGACATCTCAAATCTGACACAACTGCCTTTGGCAGGATGCAGCCTATTCTGGAGTCTCCTCTTTCGGTTTCGGTGGCACAAATGCTCATGCAGAGGCGGGGTGCAGGCAAGGCTTTGCTTGGGCAGACTCAAGACCTGTGCTTCAGGCCTGGGGCAAAAACATCATGAACTCACGTGGATGCATGGTGTCTGACCCGATCAAGCTCTTTGAGAGGAAGCTAGCCAAGGCAGGGCAAATAGCAGCAAACAGGGCAGCTGAGTATCTTCAGATACGATGTGGTGGTCATTTGTTTTTTTATGCCTAGCTTATGCCTGAGCAATTGGAGCAGCTACTGAGTGCGGCACTCCTCACCCTAGTTCGGAAGTAGAGTTTCCTCAAAGGCTGCTCCTCCCATGTGAGAAGCACGACACATATCGCTTGACATGGCAAGGAAGAGGGCTGTCGCATTTATCTGCAACAGCTTCTTCAAGAGGATTCAATCCGGCCAACGCTGCAGAAGTCTTCAACTGCAAAAACACCTGCGCATTTATGCGGAATTTGCACACGCTGGCGAAAGACCTCTCGATTTTTTCTTTTGCTCGGTGTCATTTTGGATCGGGACGGGTCACTGACCGAAGTTGCCATGATTAAAGACTCAGAAGCCACAAAGTTCTTTATGCCCCGCTTTCGCCGTGACTTTCTTTCAAGGCTTTTGTGGTGGTTCAGATGTAAACGCTGCAGGAGTCTGCAGCAGTAGGGCCAAGTTCTGTGTGCAAGATTCAAGCTCCCTGTAGACTACTCAAACTGCTATGGCTGCAGACCGTTGCTGATGCATTTACGCACATCCAGGCACCGCCTGCAGAGATCACCATGAACGGCGACGATGTACGGGACTGGGAGACAACTGGGTGATAGCCCTGGCAAAGCTGTTGAATCAATTCATAGCGAATTCGAACCTTTGGTCTAGCATGTGCTGTGAAGGCTTGACCCAGCAGGGCAGATTGGAGACCGGTACATGATCGAGCTGGATGAGGACGTGAACATCTTCTGCAGTCCTGCATGCCACGCTGTGCAAACTTGAGGATGGTGTTGCGACATGGGAGAAGGTCGATGAGGCAATGTGCTTTGGTATGGTCTGATGTGACCGGTAGTGCTTGCATAGCAAGATGAAGAGGAACTGGTGGATTGGGGTGACGATTTCTCCTTGCAGGGTACGCAGGAACCTTAGACACCTTAGACTCCAGAGTTCCAGATTTCATACTGATGAATAGGAATCACGTTGAGAACTGAGGTTCAACAACTGGGAAGCCGAACCAATGGAAAGGCCTCCCACAGTGAAGCCATACCTGCCTGCAGTGACCCCACCATGCAGGTCGGACTCAATCTTGGGTCTGTGGGTTGGTGAGATCACAGTCGGCAGCACTGGAGCTGCTGGGCACTCGGAGAGTCTGAGCCTACGATGTGGAAGCGACGTTGTTGCGTTCAGGAGCACTTCCAGGTAATCGCAGACAACGATGATGAAAAAGCTGGACGCTGAGAAGTCTCATTAAGTCTTGTGCCAGCAACAGGGAAATTTAAGGGGCTGCGCCCCCACACCCCCCCCCCCCCAAGCCTCCCCCAAGCACCCCTTCATGTAAAAACGTCTCCAATGATGCTGATGATGCTGGCGCAGGGGGCTGGCATAATAAGCATCTTTCATTGGAGGCTCGTTTCTCCAATCTGAGGTCTTCCGGCGCCCCCTCCAACCTGCCCGGGCCAAGATGGGCCTTGGGGCTAGTTTTCAACAACGTCCGTGCTCATGGTGCTTTTTTTGGGTGTCCGGGAACTCCCAGAATCATTCAAAAATCAATCCGTAGCGGTATTCGTTTCAAAGCCACATGCCAATTTCGGCTTAGTTTGGGGTCGGGGACCGGGAGGGCCCCTTGAAGAAACGGAGGTGGTCCAATGATGCAGGGCCAGCCGCACTGGCGTCCGGTCCATGGCGAAGCCAGGGCCATGGCCTGCGAAAGCAACCCCAGCCGATTCTGGCATTCGGGAGACAACAGGGTTTGGGGATTGCTGGCGGTTGAATGGCAGGCCCACGGATGGGGGGAGGCCTGGAGGGGGCAAGAGTTGAATTAGGGGTTTGGGGGGTGGAATGACAGCTAGGAAGGCTAGGCTTTTATTAGTGTGGAACTGCAGAGAATTGCTGCGAGGGATGCCTACAGGCGACCTTGCATCGGGGGAAATTGGATAGGACCAACCTCTCAAAAAACATGGGGGTCGTGGGCGGGGTGGGGTGAATGGAGGCGCAGGGATGGGAGTTTGCCAGGCAAAAAGAGCCCGTGCTGATTGCGGAGGCGGGACGCTAGGGAGGCATCAACTTGTGAATTTCTCTGTGAAGAGATTTGGGGGGGGAGGAGGGAGGGAGGCCTAGAGGCAAACGCCCACGCAGGGGGAGGGCTGACAGTTCTGACGACTGACGACAAGGCCTCAGCCTTCGGGCGAGGGCTAGATGACAAAGCCTAAGCCTCCATTGCACGCGGGAGGCGAGGGCTGACGCGATGACTTCTCCGGGTCCTGTTTCTTCAGGTGTCAGCCGCTGTCAGCCAGCTTTTTCTCATGTGATTGCGAGGTAGGGGAGGGGAGACCCCCAACTAATGTATCGATTATCAGTGTACAATGACCCCGCCACCCGTACCAGGTGTCGATAACAATCACCTATTTTGGGCGTGATTGCTGACATGTAGCATGGTACCATAATTACGAAAGCTTCCCCAAGCTTTCGTCTGAGTCCAGCTTTGCTGATCTGTACTAAGGGAATGTGGGCGAGGGAAACCACCAAAAACGGTCAAATTTGCCCGTGTTTCGCGGGCCAGACCCAGCGGCAGGGAGGTTTTTGGGAGGCCAGCCTGCGGGCCTCGAAAATTGGCATGATGAGGGGTCTGTTTTGACGCGGTTTCGGGGTGCGGTTTCGCGTGCCGTGGAGGCCGTTTGGGACGCCAGATGGCAGGTTTTGGGCACGTTGGAAGCCGCTCTTGGGCACGTGGAGGCCGTTTGCGCTCCGCCGCTTCATGAAAAATGCACGTGCCAGTATGCACCCTGCTTGAAAGCTTTCGTCTCCCCGCTGGCGCAAGTTTGGATACTGCCCTCACTCAGCAACACACGCAGAACGTGAACTCCCCGCTGGCGCAAGTTTGGATACTGCCCTCACTCAGCAACACACGCAGAACGTGAACATATAAAGCTGTTCATATAGCCTTATTATAGACTCTTACTGGGTGGAGGCAGCATGCAAAAGGCTAAGCAGGGTTTGCCCATCAACAGTGTCCCTGGGACAAGGAGTTCAGCCCTGAACCCTGAGCCCTGGTATGAGCTCTTTTGGATACTATAGCCGACAACTCGGTGGTCAGGGTGCGGGGCCTGGAGGAGGGAGGGAGGCCCAGAGGCAAAACGCCCACGCAGTCTGTGCTAATTGCGGGTTTGTTTGGGGGGGCCCACGGATGGGGAGGGCGATGCCCGCACCGTTCTGAATCAGCGAAAACACGGCGGCCGTAGGGGGGACGTTGGGTTGCTTTAGGCACGGCGGGCAACGAATTGGCTGCCCAGCATCCGGTTAAGCGTTTGGGGAGCCACACCGTTCTGGAAACGGTTTTTGGGGGGTGGGGGGGAGCCTTGGAGGAGGGAGGCTGGGGTTGTGTGGAGGGCAGCAGACGTTTTGGAGGGGGGACGCTAGAGAGTTGAAGGGGGGCAACCTCCGCAGAAAAAACTCGGGGCCGGCAATGAATTCAACAAAATTAGGAAGTGTCCCAAACGCTCACTGCGACTCTGTGAGGGGGGTTAAGGGGTCGGGGAGGCAAATGAAGGGCTGGGGCTGGGGTTAGCAGGAGGGATAGTAGAGGTAGAGGTAGTGGGACCGGGGCCGGCGGATTATGATTTTGTTTTGTTTGTGTCGAAGCACATACTGCCAAAGCGGAGCATCCAGCCTACTCTGCATTGAAGCCTGAGGTCTACTGTCCAGACCGTCCCAACTGCACTTCCAAGGCCGGGGTTATCCATGCGATGCACTCTTGTCAAGTCGGGATGGCTGAGGTGGCGCAAGTCCAAGGCCCAAAAACGGCTGCCAAGGCCTACAAAAGGATCATATAGCATGGACGAAACTTCCGAACTCTATGACCAGGAGAAGTCCTGGGTAATCCGCGGAGCGCCTGGAGACAAGTTCAAGATCGAGTTCTTCCAGCAGGATGCACTTCACTTTCTTTCGGTTCAAAGTTGGAAAGGTCAGCGGACAAAAGTTGTCGTAGGAGAAGCGACGATCGGTTCTCTGGATGAAGCTATGACCGATGGCATACTGCCTACGCCTGCTTTGAAGTGATCCCGCTGCGGAGTCTCATCCATGGGGCGTGGATTCTGAATAACACATTCTTTGCGAGCATGCGCGAGACAGCATTAGGCAATGGAGGAAGACACGGAGTGCAACAAGACATACAACCAAAGCTTTACATTTCTAGAAAAATTGTCTGTGAGCTTCCGCCTGCCGGCAAAAACCTCAACAGAAGCGCGCTGTGCAGATGATGCTTAAGCTTCTGCAAGCCATAGACGTGCTTCGCGTTCCGCATGGTTGGCTTACATGCTTTCAGCTGGAGTATTATAGTTGACCTTGACACCTACACCAATCAAGGGTTTCTCTAGCCCTAAGCCCCAGGCCCTAGGCTATCTGACAAAGCACCGGATGGCCTGGCAACACAACGCAGCCACTACTGCTGCAGCAAATGGTCGAGCACTCAGAAAGTTACAGGGATCGTAGGACGCGAGAAGTACGGAGCATGTTGCGAGCAGATCTTCAAGTAAGTGAGCGCAGACTTTTGCCTTCAACATGCAAGTGCGAGCAGCTGTTGATGGCGGGTGTTTGTTGAGGGTCGTTCGGATTTCTGGCGGGGGCGATGTGTATGTCCTCCGAGCAGAAAGTGAACGAGAAACATTCCAAGCATAATTTGAATCAGGGAGCCTCGGATTGCACTGACCATGACTTCAGGATGTGTTTGGAGATAGCTCTACGCGCTCCAGCGTATGTACCCTGTGCTGAGGTTCTCATTGCTTCGCCAAGGCTTGCCTTCTCTGTGGCCTTCTTGAACTTACCTGTGGCAGGGGATTGCTATGTTTTGTGGTAGATTCTTTCTTGCCTTCCATGGGCTGCGCAGCACTTGAGATTTCTAGATGTCGGGACTGCTAGCTTCATTGACCATTGACTTCCGCACATAGATATCGCTTCTGGCAGTGCTTGATTTCACTTCGGTGTCTTAGGATGGCCTCGCTGCATGCTGCCTTGCATCATTCCTACAAGCACCTGTACGCAACACGCTGACGCTGGTTGCGCGGAGTGAGTACGGTCGAGGCATGTGGCGTTAGATTTGCCAAAAAGATCCAAAAAAGCCAGGGCCGCAGGTAGGCCTTGCGGCAAACGGTCTTTAATGCTACGAACTCCTTTCCCTGCCAGATCAGGCACGTGGGCACCCCATGAGCAAAACAAACATGGCCTGCACCAACCTCTCCCCTCCATCGTAGAGGAACTCTGCGAACTTGCAATCCCTGTACTGTACGGCCGACCAAGTATGCAGGAAATTGATGACAGTCATTGCCATCACAGGGTTTGTTGTCATCAAGAAGCAGTTGCTACTTCCAAGAGCCTTTTCAGACTGGTAGTCCTCCAGCTTTCTAGCATTTGCTGCTTTGGCTTTCATTCCTTTGGTTTACTTGTCCATATTCAGATCCGCCGTCGCAGTCTGGCAGGCACCGGAAGGACGCCGCGGAAGCTTTAGATGACTCAACGGCCTCCCCAGATGCTGTCCTCGCTCAACATTTTCCGCCCTTGTCGCGGTTGTCGGAACCTGACGCAGGCGAACTGCTGTGCATCTCAGGGCATGTAGACAAAATGTCGCCTTCAGGCACTGCCAGAGCGGCAGATGTATCAGCATCAGCGGCATCCCTCGAGCCCAGCTCAGGGGTGGTGGCGATGTCACGTTTCTTCAATGCTGGCAGTCAAGCCTAGGGGAAGTTTTCTCAGGCGCTCCAGATCGAACGCGCAAAGCAGCGAACGACAGAGTACCGCTCCCAAACTTAGAGTGATGGGCTAACAGAGAGAGGCAAAAATGACTTGAGGCGTGTAGCGCTTATTGCAACAATGAAGGCAGATCTCGCCAGGCCACTAAACGCGTAGCTAGTCTGGTATTTGCCGTGACATCAATTGCTTGTAGCAGGCTGCAGCATGATACCGCAGCAGCTCGCTCGGAAGAAGTTCAGCTGAAGACTCAGGCACACAACATGAGAGCTTGACTTAGCATTGGGGCTTGATGTCGTGGTGCTTTGAATGTCAGGCCACCTCAGAGAATCTACGCGGTGGCCAGCAGCGCGAGGCAGTCACAGCTGTTGAAGCCTGGATTGCTGTGTTGCCAGCATTGCTGAGCGGCAGGCTCTGCTCGGCCAACAACTGGAGCTTCGAGCCAGGTTAGAGGAGTATCGGAGGCTCGCAGCCTGAGGTCAACTCAAAGTTCTTAGTCTGCCGCCACTTCTGCAGGAGTGCGGATTCGCACAAAGACCGTGCCAAAGAGTGGCATGATGAACTGGAGTCGCTCGAACGCCACCAGGCTTTTTTGTAACATCATGCTCTGCTGCATGCTTGCCGAAAGCACAGGCCCTTGCTGCGGAGCAGGTCGCGGTGCTAGAGAAGGCCAGCATTCGTGGGAGTCTCAGCGCAGCCATGCCGCGCACTACGTTTCGATGCACGTAGCAAGATGAACCTCCTGCTTACAATGTGGCAAGGTTTGAAAGCGGTGGCAGCAGAAAAGACGCAGAAGCTTGCCAGGGCGGAGGCCAGATCTGGACTTTGACACAAAGAGCCAAGACAACATAACCGATATGACATGAGGCGCGCGTGAAACGGCTAGAAGCTCGGCGTGCCCAGACGAAGGTAGAGGCCATCCCACCGAAACGAGGTTTTACCCTTTCCGGGAGTGGGGTGGGGCACCCTTTGAGGAATTCATGTTTTTCTACCTTCAGTCATCACCTGCATATGCTGCACGTGTCCTGGTTGCATTCCTACAGTGCAGGTAGCCAACCTTCAGCAAGCTCTGGCAAAGCAGGTTCAGGCTGGCTGCGTTTGTTTTATACAAGGTTGAAGAAAGCATGGTAGGCAGAGCAGTTGGCAGTTCTGATCCTGATTCAACACTTTGCAGGGAAGTTGCGAAGTTGATGAGCACCAAAATGCGCACAATGCGGAGAGGGACAAGTCCAGATTGGCAAAGACTGCCAAGCTGAAAAGTTCCAAGAAAGCAAGCCCCGGAGCGATCAAGGCGGCAAACCATGCAGCGAAGCAGGTCCGCAAGGAATCCCCGGCCAGCAGCAACGAAGAGCAAGCAGCAGGACCTGAGCACGTCTGGCAAGTCCGCATCTCAGCGGCTGAGCGATCAGAACTGGTGACCTCTAGTGACCGAGTACTCAGAGTACACAGCCCACTTCCATGCACGGTTTTGATTTGCTTTGTGGGGCTAAGGCAATTCTTTTGTTCTTGCTGGTGCTTGTGCTCGCGCTCGGTCCATACTTGCTTGCTCAACTCATTGACTGATTCAGCATATTGCGGCACGAGTCAGAAGATGCACTGCCTTCCTCTTCATGCGTTTTCTTGCGCTGCGAGTGACCGTCGCAGATCTGAAGTCTTTGGTCTCGTGCCTCTCGCATGGCTCACAGCTGAGGTTATCACTGCCACACAGACCTGCATCTTACAGCTTTAGACAGTCAAGACTGGCATTTCCAGCCCAGAAGTAGATGTTCACAACGCATTTGCTGGACAGCTTGTATGGTTTGTGATGTTCCTTTTACAGGGTTCGTTGGCATCAAAGACCAGCATGGAATGGCGCGGTGCCGTACTGCCATCTCCAGGCTTCTCAAGCCAAAAGAAAGTTGGAGTTGGCTGAGTTCCTGGGAGTTCCTCAGAGGTCGAGCGCCGTCGACGTCCAGTGCTCGCAAGCCAAGCGCGCCCGGTCCAAGCGTGCAGGTGTGAGCTGCTCGCCGAAGCTCACCAGACCAGATCAGGAGATAAGCATGGCTACTGCAGTCCTGGTGCTAGGTGCCGAGAGGGGCATTTTTGTGCCCGAGGCCTTTTCAAGTCCAAAACAGCCACTTCCAACACTGCGATGCGATGCGATGACAGGATATCTCCACAGAGCGTGATTGTTGGTGGTGCAGCCAGCCTTGCAGCAACCTCAGTTCAGAGGGCAAAGTAGGACGACTTGACCTGAGTAGTGGAACGTGCGGACAGGCCATTCAGTTCCATCACCGGAGAAGACACGCGTCAAGGAGAGCAGGCCACATGCGGCAGTTGCCTTGCAATACTAATGACGTAATGTGGCAGAAGCTAGACCAGCCATGCGCCTGCTGTGGACCTGAAAGTTGCTCAGGGAAGCAAACGTTGCAAGCAGAATTCCAAACGAACTAAAGCTAGGGCATCTAACCACGGACTAAGTCCCACGAGCCTCCAAGGATGGGCCTTCAGAGCTTTTTCCGTGTACATGTTGAGCTGTCATGTCAGCGTGATGGAGATCAGCGTTTCCACCCTTGCAAGCGAAATTGTGCAAAGTGCTCTAACAGAACGAGCGCTAGCCGACAGAAGACAGACAGTACGAATTGTTCCCGCAGCCTGCAAGAAGCGATGTTCGCTGGCACCCTCATGCGCATCCCTCGGGGCAATGACAGGGCGATGCGGACTGACTCAACTTCTTCGGCACCAGACACAACTCAAGCCGACGACCTCCCCACGCCGCACGCGCCACCCCTCGATGTCGCCGCCCAAAATGCGCCGTGCGGCCGGCGGCACCACCCGGACACCTCCCTTTTGCATCATCAACCATCCGGGGCCGCCCGCAGCTACACAGCTACGCTCTTAGGATTGAACCACGGGCTGCTCGCCAAGCAATCGAGGATTGGCCAGCAAACGCTGGTCCAATTGTCAATGAGCTTAAGATGGTTTCCTCTCATTTCATGGAGGTAGAAGCATACCATGCTATCAAGCTATCTCGCGACTTCACTCGCAACTGGCGGCAGCGCCTCCTAATCACTTGGTCTTCTCAACCCTCTTCCATCAAGTTCTGCTATGACTTACGCCTTCAGAACCCTCTCATTTTCCAGGGATGCATGTTGTATTGGCACCAACGACTACGCCTGCTTTGCGTTCGAAGAACAAGTTGGGAAGGAAAACTGTCCCTGCTCATTATTCAGTGAACTCTTCGACACGATCTTCGCTGGGCATGGGCGGCAGTGGTTCTCGTCCTGCTTCGCGATGGTAACGCTACTCCATAGTGACAATTACAGCTTCGGATCGCGACTTGGATTCCAACACCATTTCCGTGCACTAGTACATCCAGTACATGGCTGAGCAGCCATGTTCCAGTCAGTGCATGTCCACCGTTGCCTGATGAGTAGATTGATCACTAAAGCTAGCGGAGCTAGGCTTCAGTTTCGTCTTGCTTAAGCAGAGCCTTCAAGGTCTGGAAAATCACGTATCGTGTGATGCATCACAGCATTAGGGTGGACGGGGCGAGCGTGATTCATCCACAGGAAACTCGTGGATTAAGAAGGGGGGGAGACGGGGGTCGAGCGTGAGAAACGTAGGTCTACGGGGAGGGAGGGGGGCCCAATTTGACTGTTTCTGGGAGAGGATTTGTAGGAATTACGGGAAACCGTCATGTTGCATTCGTAATCGAGCAGTAACATTTTGCGTGGTTTCGTGAAGCCTTCTTTTTTACAGTGTTCACTTCTTCGCTGCCACGGCATGCTCATGGTACGATTGACGTCGTTCTAACCTCACTGCTGTAATCTGCTTGTCGCGTTCACGACAGTTGTATGGTCACGGCACAGGTGGCATTATGTGTGGTGGTCGCGTGAAGGCTCCCATTTGTTCTGTCGTGTGCCAGGCCCCGGCAAGGTCACAACACGAGTAAAATCAGGCTTGCAACGTCATGATACACGTAAACTAAACCTCGTTGGTCGTTGCGTCAACCCCCCTGGCCCCTTTGCAGTAATCAGTACCCGGCGAGCATCATCATGCCGTGTGGTTGCATTGCACCTTTCCCTCTTTCTGTTGTGTTCAATGCCTTTGCCTGGCCCTGATACAAGCTACTGAACAGCGCACAGGCTGTTT